CGTAGAACTAGTTGTACCAATCCCTAAATTAAACTCATTCACTGCAAAAGTCTCAGGTTTATGGGTTAAGTTAACTGAAGATCGTAAGAATTTTTCTCTCATCCCACTTTTCCCCTTTCCTTGTTCAGAACTACCCAAACTCCTATCCTCATAAGGTAGACTACCCCCAGACCTCTGTTTAGGCACCCTTGTTTCAGCTCGACTCGCTGATGAAGCCCTAAGACAGTCTGCAAACTGCCCTAAGTTAATCAAATTTCCAGCAACATCTTCATTTTTCATAAGGCAACTTCTTACTCCATGTTATATTCTACCACAGTAAAAGAAAAAATTATGCAAATCTTTATACCTAAACTCCACTCATTTGTTCTTCTGCCCAAGCTTGGTGGTTCTCATTAGAATTGGCTCTCTAAGGCTCTGTTCAACCAGCAATTTCACAATCCTTCCATTATTATTGCCTGCACCTGGAACAAACACATCCAACACCCTTCTTACCAATCTACTTATCTTCAATCAAGCTTTCGTAGAAATCCAATGAAGCAACAAATTGATAATCTGAACCCAAAGTTTCACTCATCCTCTGAAAAATCAATCTTGTTGGGATCCCATTGGTTTAGGATCTAGTATTGGCCATCGAAGTTCCAGGTCTTGCCTTGCAATATTTTATCCTTGTCTTCCTCGTGCTAGAATAGGAATTGGTACATGTTATCGCCCAAGCTACAAATAGTGAAGGGGAGTCTCGTTGCCTATATCCTCAAATCTTGTTTTTGGTTCCCCCAAAATTTACCTTTTATTCCTCATACATCTTTCCTATAAGGCTCAACTTACAATCCTTCACTCGATTGCAACATTCTCATCTAATAACACCATCCCTTTTTCCTCTCGGTCAGACAGAACAAACCTTTGAAGCTTATTATCAACTTTTTCTATCATTGGTGTCAGTCCCCGCTCGAAGAACTTGAAAACACCAGAAAAAGCAAATGAGGGCCCAAAAACTCATACCAAGAGAAAGGGAAAAAAACACACAATGGCAACTACACCAGAATAGACAAAGAAACAAAGACCACGGCCTAAACACCTAAGAACCAAGAACATAAGAAGACGAAAGACTAAAAACAAAAAATGTAATAAAAACTTATAGAAATTATAGAATTTCCGCTGCGCGAATTTCCTGTGATATTCTATCGTCAATCGAGAGCTTTTTGCCTTTCCGGTAATTCTGGGGGAACTAAAATCTAGAGAGAGAGAAAAATACCAGCGGGAGGAACAAAAACTTAAATTAAATCGATTGAACAAGTTAGTCATTGGATTGGGTTTCATGACCGATTCTTTTATGAGAATATAATTTCAAGGAAATGTGTATCCAAAATTATAGTGGTTTTATTTTATTGTATTATATTGCGTTTCCAGATTTTATTTGTATTTCATTTCCCTCTACATCTTAATAAACGAAAGTTGCATTGCTTCATTGAACGCCACGTGTATACCTCACAACACCTCCCTAAGCGTTTTGTTTTGTTTTGTTTTGTTTTTTTTTTTTTTTGCCTTAATTGGGCTTATTTTTTTCCTTTTTCCCCCACATCTTAATAACGACACATGTGGGAATTACATGCATGCCACATGATCAATTTCTCCACTTGGTAAGCATTGTTTGATGAGAACATTATTTTGAGTTGTGTTATTTGGATAAGTTTTTTTATTGGGCTAATTGTTTATTTTTTCAACTTATTATAAAGAGAGTTAGTTCCTCAACTTTTAGGCAACATGGCCTCATCACTAACTCTTCAAATGTGTAGTTATGAGATTTTTTTCAATGTTTAATATTTTCTATTTGTTTCTACATGTTTCTTTTATGTCTGAAATAATATCTCACTGACTACAAACATGAATGACTTCAAATATGAGGAATCACTTTAGTTCCTATTCAGTTGTTGTCTTCCATACACTTCCTCTTATCTCATGTCAACTGATGTATCATAATTTATTTAATTGTATATATGTTATCCATTTTGAAAAGGCAAACATATCAACTTTAAGAAGAAATTGTTGTAAGTCATTGTTCCCAATGATGAGATAATATTATATAATTTTAACACACTTGGGTAGATATCTCTATCCATAACAAAATATGTAGGGAGCTCGTGCATGCTGAAAATTGAGGTAATTGGTGGCCCTTTGTGCTCAAATTAATTATGCAAGCAAAACAAATAGTTCCAACCCACTTCATAAGCGCGGTGGGTTTTACAAGAATTTTTTCATCACAGAAATAATGTTCGACCAATTATCTTTACTTTTGAAAACTAAAAGATTTTTTTTTTATTTGGTACAAGAAAAGGAGGCAAAGCCTAGCTCAACTAAGTGAAAATTCTACGAGGATAAGAGATGCCAATTTTGTCATGGTGTAACCATATGCTTACTCCCGACGGAGGGCTCTCTAACCTATGAATACCGTCGGGGCCTTTTGCCGCCAAAAAAGCTAAATAATCCGGCACAAAATTAGTTTTCTATATCCGTGAGTAATCTCCCTCGCCCAATGACGATCCAAGAGTTCCTTTATTCCCCTCAATATACTGTCATGCGACCCGCAATGCTCTTTGTGGTAAACCATATCAATAATGCTCTTATTATCAACCTCAACTTTAATCTTTCGAGCTCCGATATCCCAGGCCAGACGTAGACCCTAAAACAAGCCCCAAATTTCCACTCCAACAACCGAGCAAAAACTAATATTCATAAAAAAAATTGGACACCCAACTCCTATGATGATCTCGCACGACGCCCCCAGCACTACATCCTTGTCGACGGATCAGAACTCTCATCCATATTGATCTTCAACTCATCCATCGTCAGACCCACCACGAAATCCAACACATCTCTCGTGCACCACTCATCCCCACTTTCTTGCTACCATCCAAGGCGCATCTCACCATGTACACATAAGAGAATACCTCGCCCAGATGTTGTGACAAATTAATGTCAGAACCTTTAAATAATTTCACATTCCTCCACCGCCATACACGCCACGTTGTGAGCCCAAACAAAGACTCCCAGTTCTCTCGAGCACCGCTTAAATTACTCGCCAAATTTTCCAAAAACCACTATCGAATATCAATTGATAAGAAAAGTCGCAAAACCCGACTGGGGACCAGCCGCTTCTAAGTGAGGGTTACTTGAGGACAATCACGTAATGCATGGAGTGTTGATTCACACTCCGCCAGACAAATCGAATAAGCCTGGCTAAAAGCAATATGACGACGCTGCCGTGAAGCATTCGTTAATAGACTGTCACGAGCGACGAGCCATAGAAAATGACAAACCCCTGCGGGCCCACCCACTTCCATACCGTTTTCCATAACTGATCCCTGCGTTTCCCAGAATGCTGCAATAGCGCCATATACGTAGACATTGTGGAGAATTTTCCGTCAGCTGACAACCCCCAAAAAAGCCCATCCTCATCGCCATGCACAAGCGACGACGATGTAGCGGATATCTGAAGCAAGCACGTGGCCCAACAAAGCTTGGAACATCAGCCAGTTCCACCCTCCCTCCGGCGTAGTAAACTCAGCCACCGTAGAGAAAAGCAAATTCTCTGGTACTTGGCATGTCGCAAATTTAATCAACGGAGTGTTATAGTTTAGCCACATGTTCCCACCAAAACAAAATTCGATGACCATTCCCCACAGACCACCGACAAACGACCAATGTCACCTTCTAAACATCTCTAATCACCTGAAGAACCGTCGACCGTTGGGGAAACTCAAAGTCTTCGTCCATCTCCAACAGCTGCAGAGCATATTTGGCCCGAAGCACCCTACACCAAAGTAAATTCGGCTCTTTCAACAAGCGTAAGACTAATTGCATAAGTATAGCTCGGTTCATAAGTCGTTGGTCTTTCATCCCCAAGCCGCACTCCTCCTTTGGCCTACACACTTCCGACCAAGAGACCAGGCTAATTTTCCGAGTTGTATCCATACCGCCCCAAATAAAATTCTTACACTTCCTTTCTAGGTTGTCACAGACCCCATACGGTAGAGCCTCTGTCTGCATAGAGAATTACGACAAAGAGCACAAAGTCGCCTGGGCTAGAGTTACCATGCCCACCGTAGAAAGAGTCGTAGCCTTCCAACCTACCAGCCGCTTTTTTTTTTCTTTTTTTTTTTCGCTTTCTGTAAGAATCAGCGTATGTAGACTTGTTCACTCGACTATGTATCATAGGCATACCCAGATACTTACCCAGATTATCAACAACCTGAAAGCCCAAACGTCGGGCCAACGAGAGCCGAGCCTCGGCCATGATATTAGAGGAAAAATAGACTTGTGTCTTTGGCTCACTCACTTTTTAAACCAGATGCCGCGCAAAAGGTCTGCAGGATAACCTTAAAATGATCCGCCTGGACCGAGTTTGCTTCTATAAATAAGAGCAGATCGTCCGCAAACATTAAATAAGCTGAGGACTAAAAGCGAGATCAATTTTTTGTTGTATAAAATTAATATTCTTGCATGAGATCAATTTTTTGTCGTATAATTTGTTTATTTTATCAATGTTTTTAAATGCGTTTGTGAGCATAAGTTTCTTTTTTCGATAGTCTTTTGATGCAATTTAGATTATTTGTTTAAAATTTAGATATATCATTTTTAAACATAAATATTTTGATATTTTTGGCCGGCTATGCAAGATTCCTAGTATATAATATAATTGTTTCAATGAAAAAATGTCTCTCATGGAATTTGTAAAAAAAATAAAAAATAAAAAATAAAAAATAGAAGAATCAGTATTCAAAATTCACAACTACATTTTGTGCAGCCTCTCGTTTCATCATTTCCCCTTCACAAATTCTGCCCAATTCAGAAGTTCGATTCCAATCGACATTGGGTAGTCGGCTTCTCAGCAACTACCCACCTAGTATACAATTTGTTATGAATAATTGTTAGAACATAAAGAGCGAGAAAGAACGAGGTAACAGATAACCGTACGCGGCGGCGCGTGCGGTGGGCCGAAGAGGATGATCACGCGATCGAATTTGGCGGAGCAGCTGAGAGAATATCAGATTCGATCTAAGCACAATTGGGCTTCGCTTTCCTTTTTCTCCTCCACCTCCAAGTCCGCCTCTTCTAGGTATTTTGGTTCCCCCAATTTTCTGTTACTGTTCTTTCTCTTATACGTGAGAATGCCTTTAGCTATCCCTGTATTATAATGGGTCTTTCTCTTTTTCCGTTTCTTGGTTATTGTGGGATGGAATTCACGCGGCATGTGATTTTGAGATCTTATGTACCTTTTCCTATGGATGATTATAGCTACAATGTGAAAATCTGGGGTTTTAACTTTTGCATATATGGGATTCTTGGCTTAAAAGGTAGGATTTCAACCTTTGTTGTTGAAGATTTTTTGGATGTTGTGTCGTGTTATCCGAATTTGGGATACTAAGGGTTTGTATTGAAGTTAACGACTTTATATGAGACAAGCATGTGCAAATGTTGCTGATAATGAGGATACTGAAAATCTTTGGAGAGTCGGCATAATAGTTGTGTAGTTGATATCAGTAGAGAGGTTTAGAATCTACTCAAGAAGAAAAGAGGAAAGAGAAATAAAGATTAGGTTGATATATCCAGGTTTTTTGTTGAATGTTATGACTGATCATATGCATGATCGGAATTGGTCTTACCATGGGGTCTTATATGAATAGAATGTAGTAACTAGTAATTGTTATTACCGTTGGTGAATTGAAGACCTCAATTCAAGCTTCACATATGAGGCAGGTATAGGCAAGAAAACGAGAATTTTATAGGTTTTGAGTGGCTAGTTGACACTCACAAAATTCAGACGAGAGATTTTGGGTTGAACTCCCATCTGCACTTCTTCATTCAGGATAGGTTATGGGAATTAAGAAGATGTGGAGGCAAGAAAACCAGAGGAAGCTCTGAGAAATGCTTTTTTTTAAAAAAAAAGAGAATTTGCCATGTCCTCCCCAACTAATGGACTCAAAAGCCCGATTATCTGAAATTCTCAGAATCAAAATTTCCGAGGCTGTTAAGTTGCCTTGTTCAGTTTTCTCCAAAATTGATGAGGAAAAATCAAGTCAGTAGTCAGCCATTTTTGACAAACGATACTAGGTGAGCAGATGCTAGTCGACTATTGAGTCTCTAGGACATTGAGTCACCTTTCATTAATATAGTCAATGTAATGTATATTGCTGTAGGATATTATGCATGTAACTTGTGCTGGAGTCGTCTTTAAATCCTGAAAGTGAGTTGTTTTGGTAATAAATGAACATTACCATATGTAAATTTGGGTGCATGATATACATCATTGCTCCAATGCATCTCTCTATGTCTTCGAACCTTCTCTTTAAAATTCAAAGCAGATGTTCCTTCACAAATCTCAGCAATCTTGTTCTGATTCTACATATTGATCCTTTTGAGGCGAGCTTACAGGTGTCTCGGGTATTAGCTGTGATACACTTTTTCAACCCATATACACAATTCCCCACACTTTTTTATATGTATAGAATCTTAATGTTTCCTTAAAACTTGTGGCATTGTTGAATATAAATACTCCGGAATCTTCTGCGTCTAGTCAAGATCATGAGGTATTGATAATTTCATAGATAATTTTGGGATGGGGTTTATAATACAACTGGGATAAGGAATTTGCAATAGGGCATCATACCACTCACTACATTTGGACACTGATTTCTGTTAGACCGTTGAATGTTGATCAAAACCACTTCATCTGATAATAGCTGCATTTGACAGTAGTATGATTTAATCTTTTACTATTTAATTGGTTATTAGTGTTCGATCCTGGTATTTTCTACTTTTGACGTGTTGTTGATCTTTGCTTTCTGCATGCAGGGTTGACGTCGCCATTTTTGTCATATGGGAACTTGTGATTTTGGCATTTCTCGTTTTCTCAGGCATTTCATTGTATTTTAGGAAGTTGAAGCTCACAATAATCTTGTTATGTATTTCGGTGTTGTTGCTTTTATTCATGAGGATTACGAAGCAAGTTAGATTGGCTCGGAAGAAGAAACGAAGGATGCTACTTCCTTTATCTATGTAGGTGCCAAAAAATTGGAAAATTTTCGAACCAGAGCTTATTAGTTGTTCCATGTATATTGTGAGGATTATCGACCATTGCCTTTGGTCAGCCTTTTCGCCGTTCTTCTGTTTTCTTTTGTTCTTGCCTCCACAATGTGTTGTATGTAATTGTACCAATGGTAGCTGATTAAAGAATGTAGCTGGTGTGATTTGTTCCTTTGCAAAGTGTTCAAAAGATTATATTAGTGATTCTATTTGAGTGAGATTATATTGGTCAGCCATGTTTTGCCCCAAGGGGTTATTTCATTATTATTATCATTATTTTTTTTTAAGAATAAATGCCAATGTCAATGGGTGTAAATTGTAATGCTTTGGGATAGTATAGGGTTTTTTTTTTTTTTTTTTTTTTTTT